TCCCAGTCAGCAAGCTGCGTATTGCTGGAGTGAGGCTTACTCCCTAAAGAAACTTTGCAGAGGGCACAAGGGTTGCCAGCCTTTCCCTGACTCTCCAGACTTTTTCCATTATGCCCCCTCTCCACACTTTTCAGCTTCTTTCAGTGTATTGCTTTCCCTCATTAGTGTGCAAGCTTCTTCAGGGGTGGGAGTGTCTTTCTTTCTGCTTGTGTTCGTATTCCCAAAGCTTAGCACAGTGTCTGGCACATGTTGTTGTTAAGTTGTTTCGGTCATATCTGACTCTTCCTGACCCCATTTGGGTTTTTCTTGGCAAAGATACTGGAGTGCTTTGCCGTTTCCTTCTCCGGCACATTTTACAGATGAGGAAACTAGGCAAATAGTGTTAGGTGACTTGCCCAGGGTCACACAGCTAATAAATGTCTGAGACCTGGCATATAGTGAGTGCTTAGTAAATGCCTCTTGACTTGACTCAGAGGATGTTTCCAATAGTGGGAATCGCTACCTTCCCAGATTGTAAGCCTCTTGAAGACAGCGCCTTTATCTTATTTATCTTTATGTCTCTCTCAAGAGCTAGCATACTGGTATGTTAGCATACATAGCTGGCATTTAATAATAGATATTCATGTATGTGCCACTAATGTTTCCAAGGAGCTTATCTCAAAATTCTGTGGATTACAATTTACTACCCTTGTCAAGTCAACAAGCATATGCTATATTAGTTACTTATACGCTAGGCACTGTGGTAAGTGCTGGGGATAAAAAGAAAGGCAAATCTTTGGCCTTCGGCAAGTAATTTCATTTACCTGCAGATACAGATTAACCTACAGATGGGTTTCCTTATCTGTAAAATGAAGGGATTAGAGTAGATGACCTCTGAGGTCCCTTTCAGGTCTATATTTATGATCCTGATGAATTATTATCATCATCGTACCCATAAGAAAACAGGTTCAGAGACATTAAGTCATTTCCCAATGGTCATATAGCCCGCTCACCTCCCAGTCCCCTTCCCCTCAATCATCTCTTTGATCTCCAACCGATGTTTTCTTGCTATAACCAACTGCAGAGTAATAAAGAAATGCTTGTTGAATCATCGAATACAAGAGGAGGTGCTGTGCAGCGGAAAGAGCACTAAATTTGAAGTCAGAGGACCTGTGGTAGAATTCCTTCTCTTCCACTGAGAAAATCCTTTTTACCTCTTTTAGCTCTATTTCCTTTCTTCAGTTTATGTCTCAAACCCCCCGTCAGGGGTTTAGGCTAAATGCTCTCTGTGGTCCCTTCCAGCTCCATATAAATGACCCTCTGCATGAATCGACAACCCAGTTGCCTCTAAGGAGCCCTCTCTCAGTGCTGCTTATTCCAAGACTTGTGGTTTCCCACCAGCGCTGGTCCTCAGCCCAGGGGGCTGGGACCACTTATCTCTGCGCTGGAGCCTGTCCCCGCTCACTCCTCCATCAGGTGGAGCAGCTCTACTCTCTACTTAGCTGCTCTGCTCAGCTCCGCTCTCCTCTTCTTCCTTCTCCCATTCTGTCCGAAGGAGGGAGATGAGCGCAGATCACCTAAAAGCGCCAAAGAGGTTTAATCCAGAGCACGCAGAAGGTGAGCCTAAATGAGGACCCCTCTTGCTTAGGGCCCGGGGTTGGCGCGGCCGCTGTCTGGGCTGGCGCCGGAGCCGTGCTGCCTCCCAGTCCTTCAGGTACCACTCTCTCCTTCTTTCCCAGGTGCTGTCTGTCGAAAATTGCAGTGGTTTTGCCGGCACTCAGGGTTGAAATGCCTCCTGGCCCTTTTAGAGGCAGGCAGCTTATCACTTAACACTCGGTTTATTGGGTTTCTGCCGGAGTCCGGAGGCATCGAGGGCTGAGAGGAGACTGGGGGGAACGGAGCTGGCGGGGGTACATCCGAGCCCATCCGGAAGCCAAGGAGGGAGAGTGGAGTAGGTCGGTGCTCTTCCCCTCTTTCTAGCTTCCCGACCCCCCACCCCCACCCCCATGGGACTGGGAGAGAAACACATGGGCGAGTGCCGGAGTCAGTGAGTGAGTCTCTGTGGATTGCTATTCGTATTTTTTTTATTATCCGTGCTATATCTCCTCTCCATGGGTGTCGCTCGCCGAGGAGTCTATCCTCCCCCATACCCCCCTCCCCATCTTCCTCCCTCCAGAGCAATTTTGGGCCCTATGCCAATGAGGAATTTCTATAAGAGATGACAAAATTATAAATAAAATCTGTAAATGATAAATCATGAATCAAATGTAATGTCTTTTGTGGTTATAGGTCTGGAGTTATACGAGACTTTAGAGGTTATCTAGTCTAACCCGTATACTTTACAGATGAGGAAACTGAGGCACAGAGAGGTGCCCAAGTTCACACAGGCATTTGTAAGTGACAAAATAGTGTTTTAAACTCAGGTGCTGTGACTCCAAGTTCAAGTTCACTTCTTTCTCCGTTGTGTCAAGATGCCACTTTAGCGTGCAATTCACACATAATAGGATTAAAAACTAATTGTCCAGGGTTTAGGTAAGAGGTACCCCTCTTTCTTGAAATTAGAGTCAGAGCCCAATCCTCCCACCCTCCATAATATGGACTGGATTGACAACTCTTGCCACAGGTAGCTGGAAAGTTAGTGAACAAGACAAATCACTGGATTTGAAGCCAGAAGACATGGGTTCCACTTTAGGTTTTGACACAATAGCTGAAAACCTATGAACAAGTTATTTATCCTCTCTGAGCTTCAATTTCCTTCTCTATTAAATGAGGGGATGGTGGTGACTGATGATGATGATGATGATGATGATGATGATGATGATACTTTTGCCTAGGATCTTCATGAGGGTCAAATGAGAATAAGTGGGTAAATATAAAAGAATATTATTATACATGTGTAAATATGTACGTATGTACCTATATGTACTCATATAGGTATTCAGTCTTGGTATATTAATTAATTAATATAATTAATCAATACAAATTTTGTAATTATTCATAAGAGCCATCTCTGGCATGTGTTATCCCCTAAATTATGTGTCCAACTAATGCCCGTCATTTGACTAATATTTATCCACCTCATCCTACCAGTACCTTAAGGTTGTGTTGATGGTTCCCTTCTTGGCCCAGTTTATTTAAGTGATAGAAGACTCTTTTGTTTTAGCCTTAGAGCATAACCTTACAATTCTCATTTGTTTTGTTTTTACTCTTTTGTTCCCAAAGCTAATGTTTGTTTTAACTCTGCCTTTGACATGCTAACACCCTCTTCTGAATTGAGTTAAGCAAACAAACCATTATGTTGAGAAAAGAACTGACCCTAGCACACAGTCTTACTCATTTATTAACCTTTGATGAACCACAGCCAGTTGTCTTTTACAACCAGGGTGAGAACTATCCTACCTGGGCTCCTGAAATTTGGGATGTGCCCTGTGGCCCTGCCTCAAGAGTTCCTAGCAATACAGTTTATGCCTCCAGTTAATACTATTTATGCTCTCTTTCGAATAACCCTTTGAGTGTGTAATGTTAATGTAGAGAGACTTAAAAGTCCTACCCAGGCACCAGGATCTGATGAGATTAATGGTCTGAATTTGGAATGGGATGGGACAAATCAAGATACATTGCTCCCCTGATCCCCAATAGAACTTTTCAGTCCTACCCTACTTTTCAGCATGTTGCTTTGCAATTGAAATTCTTAAGAATTACTTCATGTATGTAATTTTGCCAACCTACCTAAAGATAAGTGCTTTCAAAGTATGACACTGTGCACTCTTTTTCTTTTTCAACTCCCAAACCTCACCTGGGATGATGTGCCAAACAGGAAAACACTCACAAATGTTTCTGAACCAGCTAGACTTAGAAATTTTCCTAATCTGGTACCACAGAGAAAGAGGAGATATTTGGTAAATGACCAAAAGTCAGAGGGCTCTTACAAGAGTAGAACTTTGCTGTGACCTTGATCTGCCCTTGGCTCCAGGAACTCAAAATACCTTTGCAAAGAGTAAGCTCTAAAGGAGTGATGGAACCCAGCTCTCTTTCTGTGAGAAACTCCAAATCAAAAGACAGGCTGCTCCCCCCCAGGCCCTTCTGAGGAAATGCACAAACAAAAAAAGGGGGAGGAGAATGAATGAGGTGAAGAAAGAAATCTGGGTGTTTTTCCTTTCCCTCTCTTGCATTTTCTTTTGTAGCTGAAAACCAAATAAAGTCCCAACATCTTGTTTATACAACCCTTTTCTTCTTTAGAATGGCAAGGTGGTACAATTGGCAAATGTGCCAGACTTTGGAGCTAGGGGCCCTGGCTTCAAATCCTGACTCTGCCAGTCATGAGCAGTGTGACCTTGGCAAATCACTTCATTGCTCAGGGTCTCAGTTTCCTCCTTTGTAAAATTGAGGGGCTTGGACTAGATGACCTGTGAGGCCTTTTCCAACTCTGAAACTGTGATCCTACTATTCTTCCCAAGAGAGGGGAGTCTTGAATGCTTATCTCTTAAACCACTCTGACTCTAATGCTGCATATTTTCAAAGCCCTAGCTAAAGATGCAGCTCCACCACACACACACACACACACACACACACACACACACACACACACACACCTACTTCTGTATACTTTTTCTCTGTGTCTTCAGTACACACACAGTGCCACAATTCCACACTACTCCTCTGCTTTGCCTCTTCCTTGCAGAGGCAGAAAATGCATATTTGTGCATAGCCATCATCTGCTTCATTCCTATTAAACAAAATTAGGTTGTATTTACAGAAAGTCAGAGGTACGTTTCCAGCCAGAGATTTTTTTTTGTGCCCATTGCAAGAGCAAAAGCCTAATCTTTTCCTCCTTGGGGGAAAAAAAAAGAAAGAAAAGAAAACATTGTTTCCCTCGCCCTCATGATGTTTAGCTCCTTTCCCCTCTCCCCACCAAACCAGTATTTCCTCTTTAATTATGACCTGTTTCTCTCCCACCTCCTTCTCCTACCCCTCCAGCCTCAGTGAAAGGAGCTGCTGTCACTCAGTCACTCACACCCTCTCTCTCCCTCACTCACTGCTGTGGGAGGAGCCCTGCTGGAGGAAGCTGTATGACTGGGATGCTGAGCGGCTGAGAATGGATCTGCAAGGAGTGTGTACGTTACTGAGGATCCAGGTTTCCAGAGGCGGCTGAAAAAGGCGACTCGACTTCAGCTGGCTGCAAGAATATAGAGACAGACTAAGACAGGTGGACAGGCGGACAGATGATCTCGGAGCTCGGGAGAGGACACGCAGCAGAGACAGAGGAGACTAGAGAGCCCGTGAAGAAGAGAAACTAACTGCAAACCTAAGTTCCTCCTCCGGCTTTCATCTCGGTTCCCTCTAAGGAATGAAACCTTTCCAGCTTGATCTGCTCTTCGTCTGCTTCTTCCTTTTCAGCCAAGGTAGGACGCATGCATTACTTGAGTTGCAAAGAAAGTCAGCGGCGGGGTTGTCACTGAGGCAGTGGGCAGGGATGTGGGCAGGCATTGGCCACTCAAACTGATGGATGCGCCGCTCACTGCCAGGCAGGCAGAGATTCAAACAGGGCACTGCTTCTTTTCCCTTTAAAATGCAACAACATGCTACTGTTTCTTCCCCTTTGAAAGTGAGGGAGAGAGAAGGAGGGAGAGGGGGAAGGGGGACGTTCTTCTCTCTTTTGTAAATGCCCAAGGGGAAAAAAGAAAGAAAGAAAAGACCAAAACCCACAAAAACCCACCCCTCTCCCAGGCGAATGAAATCACTAGTTCTTTAGGTCCGGGTGATGTTAATGGAGCTGTGTATATGTACGTTTCCACTCTGAACTTCTCCTCACCTCCTTCCCCTAAGATCGCAGCCAGGGGGTTTGTGTGGATGGATATTTCAGCTGGCCCTGTAGCTGTTGGGGGAGAGTGTGTGTGAGGGAGAGCGCGCGGGGTGATTGTATAGGAGCCGGAAGGCGCTGCGATTCCTGCACGAGCCAGCGTGCGGTGGAGTTATTTGCAGTGGTTATCAAAAAGATTTGTATAAAAGAGTTTGCCCTGGATTTAATGGTGGTTCCACAGTGGTGCTGGGCTCTGAGCCCGAGGGCCAGGTTTTTCCTGTCTAAAACGCAATCGGGCCCCCTGGAGCGATCATTCTTTCTCTGCTGCCCAGCCTAGCGGGATCTGGGAAGCTCGCGCCGAGTATCTGGAGAGAACTTTGGGGGGCTGCGGGGCTGACAGGAATGGGAGGCTCCGAGCTTGGCAAGAGGCATCCGAGGTAGCTGCCTTCTCAGGGGACATCAGAAGTCACCTGTAGAATCGAGTTTTAAGGGAATAGATCAAGCAGCCCCTTCCAAGAGCCGTGGAATGCCAAAGCCGTCAGAGCCATCTGTGGCACCGCAAGGCCAGCGCCTGTGCCAGCTCGTATCTTAGAGGGACAAGACTCACATTCGGGGAAAAATATACAACAGAGCAAGTCCATCTGTTGATTAAATGAAGGGTAAAAGTTTTTGAGAAAGCAGAGCCCTGCCATGCATGACTTCGGCTCTGCAAGCATAACAGCATGCCTCCTTTCCTTCCCCTGGCAAGGAGAAACCAAATGTAAGCAACACTGAGCTTACCTCCTGTTCCCTTTCGGTTGTTATTCATAGTCAGTGAAATATTTCCTGTTATCTGTGTGTTAGCTCACACTCCACTTATATCTAATAAGTTCCAATGAGGGATGTGTGTGTGTGGGTGCATCTAGCTGTGTGCCCACACAGGGTATGTGTGTATACACACACGCATTCAAATGGTCCTCTACTCATCACAAAGGCTCCTACAGCAACAGGAAGATAATTTGTCTTGCCTGGAGTTTTCAGGCTGAATGAGTAAGAATTATCTCTGAACAATGACACAGAGGCAGAGCTTCAGTGATATTACCATTTTAGAAGATTATTTCTTTCTTGAGTGAATGAGTGAGTGAGTGAGGGTGTAACTGTGGGTATATATACATATACACAATCTGGCCCCTTTACTGGTTTACTCTGAAAGTTGCCTAGCAAAAGATTTGAGAACAAGCCAGTACTCTCTTCCATTTATTTTATGTGGGGCAAATGCTTCTTTCTGATTAGTCTTCTGTGTCTTTAGGAGCTTGAATTTAGGCTCCAGAGTGGCGTGAGGAGCCGTTCTTCATGCCCCTCTCTGCCTGCTCGTCTGCCTGAATCACTAGAGAGTGTGTGACTGCTACGTTGCTTATTCATTTCTTGACACGGAGCTCCTCGGCTGCTGCCTCGGACGGATCTTTAGAATGTTTACCTCAGAAGGTTAAATGCACTCAGCTGCTGTTTCATCTCTCCTCGGTTGTGAGTGCAGCAGGAAGGAATCATGGCATTATGTAATTCATAGTTCCTTGTTTATTTCTAAGTGCTCTAGGCTTTGTGAAGGCTGCCCCTCCTCTGCCCAGCAGGTCCTTAGCCAAGAGAACCTAGAACCAAGTGCTGAATTAAGGCCACCAGACGAGAGAGGAGCCAGGCAATCAGAGTTCCTTCAGTTCCCTCTCTTAACTGTGCATTGTAGCCCTAAGAGCCAGAATTATAATGAGGCAGCTACTTCAAGCTACTGCTCCAATTGGTTATCTCAGAAGCCTCTTGGGACACATCGCATCCATGTACTGGAATAAGGAGTTTGTTGATCATATCTTATGTATTTCCTTACAGAGCATTTAAAGGGGCATCTATTTGTCTTGATATATAGATATTTTTCATACCATGGATACTCTTTTGGTAATACAAATCTCACAACTTCTACCCCTGTAACCACCACTGGATTTTATCTATTTTTTTTTTCATTTCATATTCTGTGTTCCAGAACTCCATAGCATCATTACACATAGCCTCCTTTTATGAGGTAGTTATCCCCAGATTCCAAAAGGGCTCAGGAGGATTAGTTTATGTGGCTTCAAACAGCTTCCATGGGACAATGAACAGGGGTTTTCCTTCCCATGCTCAATCACTCACTAAAAAAACTAGGGGCCTCTCCTTCTTTGGCATCTTCCCGACCTGTCATTCCAGAGAAGTGCACTGAGGCTGAGCAATGGTGGGTACCATATCCCCAAAATGCTTATTTGTGGGGGCTCTTTTCCCAGGCTGTGACTGGCATCCAGGTAGACAGATCTGTTTGCCACCTTGCAGCATCTCACATTGGACACCTGTGTGTGACCACAGAACCCTGAGAGCACAAAGTCCTTCCATTTCCTGCTCTGTGATTTCATTCCTGGTCTTCTTGTGGTGGAATAAGGCTGCAATACACAATTCTCTGGAACAGCTTTCTAAAGCTTCTCAGGTAGCAGAGTTAACAGATTGGCTCTTCAAAAACAGGTTTCAATCACACTTCCACTCTTAAATTGTTGTCTAGCCGCTTCTCCTATAACCCTTTACAGATGAGAAATTAAAACATAATTAAAGGCAATGATCTACTGTGGCAACATGCCCTGAAAGTTTTAAAGTAGCTTGGGATCTAAGGTGTATTTATTTTTCTTAAGGTAACGGTGGGAAGAATAAATGGCATTCCTTCCCTTTTGGTTGCTGCCAACAGCCCTGGGACTAGCTCCCAACAAGGATGTGGAGAGCTGCCAACGTGTGTCTGTGTTTGTGGGTTTCTTTCTTGCTGGGGCTGCCTCTTCCCTCAGCTGTCAGGGCCACGGTGCTTTGTAGAGAGCCCGATAATGTCACAGCACAATTTGCCTCCTGCAGAGAAGAGGCATGTTTTGCCCCTGGGTGAAAAAAAAAAAAAGGAATTGATTCTCTTGTCATCCTTAAATTTAAAACTTGTTGTTTACCCCCTTTATCATTTTACTTCTTCCACAACTCTCCCCTCTATGGTCCTCCTTATTGCCCCACCCTACCCACCATATGCCCATTCCCGAACAGCCCAGGGAGGGGGGAAGAATATTACAGCAGAACTGAAGCTTCCCTACCTTCCATCATAACTCAAGTTCTGAGAATGTTCAGGGAATGATATTACTACACAGGGCTGAGAATCTGGCATGATCTATGTAAGATGCTCTTAGAGAAAAGTTCTCCTTTACCCTCTCTCCCTTACCCCCAGACACCACCCATGTCACTTGAGTTCTAGTATTCTCTGTAGCAATTCCAACCCCACACCTTTCCAGGTTACTTTCTCCCTACCGCCCTCCAGATTGTAAGCTCTTTAAGGGCAGGAACTATCTTTCTTTGTCTTAGTTGTATCCTCAGGGCCTTGCATAGTAACTGGCACACAGTATGTGCTTAATAAATATTTATTGAATTGAACTGAACAGCAGAAAATGTCACAATATATTCAATTTTTGCAAAGACTTTTTGGCACCTTTGGAATCATAGGCCCTTGGGTTGGGTATATTTGCCTTTGAAAACTAAAAAATCTGTACTTCACCTACTAGCAGTCCCTGATTTGGATGAGTAATCTGAAAGGCTTTTCCAAGGTACCGTCTCTACTTATTTTAGAGTCTAAGAAATTGATGGACATCTCAGGTACTAGCTACCCTTACAGGCCTGGTAGGTACAGTAATTTCTAAAATAGGTTGTTAAGCGGTCATAGTCTCAGGTAGAAGTTTAGTTGTGCAGTCAGCCTTAGTGGGAATAAAGAACATGGCCCCAAATAGTGCAGGAGGTAGGAGGGCTGGCTGGAGAATGGGAGTGGAGAGAGATATGACCAAGACAAGAACCAGAAAGAAAGGGGAGTTACAGGTGTGGGATTGAACCAGATGACCTCTGATCATAAGATTATGGGATCACGGATTTAGAACCAGAAAGGATTTTCAAGGGCATCTTAGTCCCGTTCCCTCACTTTACAGATTAGGGAACTGAGGCCCGAAGAGGATACAGGACTTAGAGGCTGAAAGGACCTTAAAGGCCGTCTAGTCCAACCCCACTTTTTTTTCTTTCTTTTTTTTTTTTTTACAGATAGGGAAACTGAAGTCCAGAGGAGAGAAGTGACTTGCCCAAGGTCATATAGCTAGTGAGAGAGCCAAGATTTGAACTGAGGTCCCTCTGACTCCATATTCAAGGTTCTTTCTATTGCCTTCTAACTTTAAGATTCTGTTCTTCTGTAACTATGAGGAGTGTGGGGAATTGGGTGGCATAAAGAGAGCTCCCTTTGGGTACCTCCAAAAGCATAGTGTGAATGCCAGAGGCATCGAGAAAAATGAAGAAAGATTAAGTAAGCTGTGGAGCCTTTGATGGAAGAGCTTTAGAGAAAGGATTTGGGAGTGGGTAAAAACTTTGAAAACACTGGCTATTATTCAGAAATGTCATATTGGAAAAGATGAAACAAGCATAATTTCTTGTATTTATATCCCTGATTGTGATTTGCTCTTCCCTGCAGTGCAAAAGCTTTTCTAGGAAGAGTCATCTTCTTTATAGAAGGAGTTTAAGGTCACTGCGTAGTTGCCAAGGGCACATGGA